TTGACTGTGTTCACAGCCCAATGTAGTTCATTTTGATGCAGCCAAGTTAAAAGCAATGCTGCTGGGCAAAAAGGAGACACATAGTATTGAGCCCTGAAAGGCTGTGTTCAGGCAAGCAGTGGTGCAGAAAAGGACCTGAGCTTTGTGGATTGCTATCATGAGTATCTTAATACGAATTTCTGGTACAGTGCACTGTTGAAAGAAGTGAATGTTGATAAATTAATACGACAACTTGCAGAAAAAAAGAGGGAGATGGTCTGGCTTTTTATACATACCCCAGTGTACTTGTCCACAGGTGGGAGGTCAAAGGAAGAGAGCAAAAATAATCACAGGATGAAAAACAAACAGAGAAACCAACAAGTGCCTGGTTTCAGGAGCTCTGTTTTTCCATTTAACAGCACAGAGTTTGAGAACTGTCATGCCTATGTAAAAATACCTATATATAAATAGACACATACTGCATATGCAAATATACATACAGATGTAAGGGATGTGGTGGTTTAACAAGAACCAGTTGGGTGTCAGACAGTTTCAACCTTGAAATCAGAAGCAGTGCTGTAGTTAAACTAGCAGTAAAACTTAAGGAGAGGAGAGCTGGTGGAATAATTTGTAATCTTTTAAGATAAAATTACATATTACTTTTTGTAAGATGTGCTTTAGTCAAACTTCTGGGAACAATTCAATGGGTTTTATAGAGAGATAATAGCTGAGCGACTGCAGTAGTTGCTTCAGGCTCAAAACTGTGTAAATCCATAAACAATATTAAAACCCTACATATGCAGATAGGTTTCAGACAAGTTCAGTGTCTTTTCCAGGGGCCAGAGTTGTTTCCTGGTTAGCATAGCTTCACATTGTGGCTTAATCACATTTTATTGTTACTGTATGTTGTTAATATGCACAGCGATTTAAACACTGTGTGTGCAGAGATACTGGGCTTCAATTTTGTATGTACATGGGGTTTATTGGGATGATTCCACATAGTTGAAGTGGAAGAAGAGGTGTTCCCTGTGAGCTAAATGGGGATTCACTTACCCTGGTTTTATGTAGTGAATGTATTAAACTTCACTGCATGTATGTTTATTTTCATTTCAGCCTTCATTCAGGAAAACTATTACTGATAAAAATCTTCATTTCAAACCGTACAGAGTAGGAGTGTTCAGCTGCAATTGAATTTGTGAAGTGTTTCTGGTACAGCATTGTCATTTTTATAGCACTCCAGTGAGGGACAAAGAGAGGACTCCTTAAAACATTCATTTTGACTTCAGACTTGAGCCTCTCAATACTTACTTTTCTAAAAGTTATTTAAGATATAAATGTGGTGATAAAATCAAAGCTTTCTTGAAGCTTGTTGCTTTTAGCTGTATATTTGTGATTTCGTAGTTCTGCATTGCCAGGTCCCAGTCATCAGAGCAGCCTTCCCTGTTGGCTTGTTTGCTTTCAATGAGTTGCCATTGACTTGTAATTGCCTGGAAAATTTTTTTCTTGCTTCTACTTGGAGATAGATGTTAGGTTAGATGTTAGGAAGAAATTCTTTACTCAGTGGGTGGTGAGGCACTGGTACAGGTTGCCCAGAGAAGCTGTGGATGTCCCATCCTTGCGAGTGTTCAAGGCCAGGTTGGATGGGGCACAGAGCTCAGAGGGTTCTGAGCCTCTCCAATCTAAACATTTGTCATTTCAGCATTTCCACTTTGATCATGAAAATTTTAAATTCAGTGCCAATGAGCAGATTTAACTGCTTTGTTAAATTGGTTTCTGGCACTTGGGTGTTCAAATTCTGCGTAGAGGAGGAGCAGTGATGTACTTCCACTTTTGTACACCCAGTTGGTGTGTTTCTGGAAGGCACAGTCATGGAGGACAGTGTGCAGATGGTTTTGAGGACAGAGAGGAAAGATCTGTCATGGTACAACTTTCTAGAATATTAGAGTTCTGGTTTGCCTCACAAAAATATCATCTGGGCTTGGAGGTGTTCCTAATCAGTGGCAGACGGAAGTCAGTATTGATCAATAGTCATTTGAGTTGGCTGTGGGAGAGGAATCATCAGGGACTGCATATGCAGGCTGGCAGGGATGTCCTTTGGCTTGATGATCCAAGAGAGGTCAGAAGAGAAATGATTCAGCTATCCAGCTGAAGGAATTTTGGCATGCTGCTTGGGCCCAGGGATAAATACTAAATAGCTACCTTATGCCTATCCGAGAGAAATTCTTTCCAGATTCCATGCAGTGTGTTCCCATCTTGGTGTGGTGGCTGTCAGAGTCTCCAATGTACAGCTGGGCAGTTCATGCATGGAAGAACTTGTTGCCTTTGGTTCTCCCTTAGAGGCTTATAAACATTTACCACCCAGAGGCTACTGATTTAGATAAGCATGCTATAAATTGACACTGCATGTAAATGAGCTATCACGCTGTGTTGTGGTGATTAATGTAACTGTAATGGCACACATTATCTTTTAAAGTTATGATAACCTGGGGAAATCACTTAAAGATAACCTGTTCTGTCTCTTCTCCTCGGGAGAGTATCTCCATTTTGGCTCCATGTAGCTTATCTTTACTCTCAATGCAAAAAAAAAAAAAAAGAAAATTAAAGAGAGCAAACTGTACTCTAGGACCATATTCTGTCTTGCATTGCATTTACTCCTGCCTGTTAATTTTCTTATGCAAAAAAACTGCTTTTGAGTTGCCTTGAGACTGGTGTTGTTTAATAGGCACTCTCCAGAAATCATACTGGGTTTGTTCCAAGCTGGAGATCCAGGTGTCAGTGCTGGCACTTAACTAATTGTTGCTGAACCCTTCATACTTGTGTCATGCTGGTAAGGCCCTGGCACTGACTGCTTGAGGCTTGGTTTGGCTTAATTGACATCTCACAGGAATTTGTCTTTGTTTAGCTTTTCATTCTGAAAGTATGTACTTTTCCTTGCAGGTTTTGCTTGTATTTGTTCCAGTTTCTAAACAAAACAGCTGATGAATGCTTATGTTGTCGGTGATTTGTTGTTCCAATAATACATGTATGGTTCAATTTGCAGAAAAATTTCTTTCTTGTTTCAAATGGAGTTTAAAGCAGAAAAGAAAAAAAAAAAAGCAAAGCTGCCTTTGGTTTTCTTAGTTTCCTATTTTGATCCAAATCCTAAGAAAGTTGGGATTTTTGACTGTGAAGCATTAACCAAAAATGCTTGAGTAAGTATTTTAGAATCCCAGATGTTTGGATCCAAGGTACATTTCCCCCTTTTTACTTGGGAATCCTTTGGGCTGTCTATCCTTTTTGCCCTGTGCTCTACCACAGTAAAAACTCTGTCTTGCCAATTCTGATCCCTCTCCTGCTCTCTCTGCTTTTTCATATCAGGGATAGTAGAAGGAGGAGCTCAGGGAATCCTTGAGGAAAGACAAATTGTAACATGTGTGTATTCCTGGAATAGTTATTTGACCTCTCATGGGACTAGAAATGTCTTTTTGTGAAAAGGCTCTTGAGAGATGTGAATGAGTCAGGGGAAGAGGATGGAGAAGGGAGTAAAGGAGCATCTCCTAATGAATGCTGGGAGTCACTTGGCACGTGTGTGTGCAGGGCAGGTGGAGTTCAGTAGCTCTCAGCACAGGGTGCAGCCTGAGCTGTCTCTCTCCAGGTTGAAAGCCACGTGGCTTGAAAACACGCGATTATTTGCATAGAATGGGGGCTTCTGGAAAAGCCTGCGGTGCTGTAACTGCAGTGGCACACACCCTCTTGTGGCAGGAAGGGAAAAATCCCAGCAGAAACCAGTGGGACCTCTGTCTGTGCTCCCTGGTTTGCCTTGCTTTACCCTACTTGTGCCTTTCCCTTTGCGTTCAGTGAACATCCCTCACTCTTATGCGCCACATGTGCTTTCCTGCCCTTCTCTGTTCATCTCTCTGTTTATTCAGCACCTGTATCTGTTCTGTTTGTCTTGCAAATTCTAAAACTTCACTCTATTTCAATCTGGTTTTATCAATATTTGAATTGTATTTAATCTCTGGGTTTTACAGTGCCCTTTCTAACCTGCCAACATTGAAAATATGCCTTACTGGCTAACTTTAAAACATACACAGGAGCAAAAGGCTGGAAAAATAAATCAGGGTGTTGAAGAACATACGAGTTTTGTTTCTTAAATAGCTTAGTTTGTCTGAACTCCCATGAAGGGGTCATGTATAGATTAGGAGATAACATGCTGCTTTTCCCAGCTGTTTGATTAACCAGCTTAGAGATGGGTCAAACGCGCAGGAGCAGAGTGCAAGGAAGGCACATCATCACCTTCCAAGTGCAGAAAGGGCCCTACAGCATGTTTGCAGTTTATCTGATTTGCTGCATAATAAGCTGTACGCTCCATTCAGCACTCTAATTAACTCAGGAAAGCACTCTGCTTCAGTCTTTGCTGATAGCATGAACCTCACAAAGCCAAGCAGTCTCACCAAAGTACCTCTAAATAAGATTAAGCAAAGCGAACCAACCATGAAATAAAATGTAGGCTAAGTGTCGAGCAAATACTATTATTTGCTTTCATTTAGTACCAAGTTCTGTACTTGGCATGAGGTGTCCAACCATTTAATGTGTGAGTAGCCCTGGCAGCGCTTAACAAGTGCTGACAGATGAGACCTTAATCATTAATGTTTCCTCTGTGCGAAGAAAAATAACCAAGTGTTGTAAGAAAACATTTGTAAATGCATGTGGATGGTATTTCCCTCAGCTCCTAACCAGCCATGGCTCTCAGCCCACTGTCCAGCAGGACTGGGAATTACATGTTGATGGGCTCCTCTGGGATGTGGTGGCAGACTGGGTGACAGTGGAATATCAGTGGAAAGAAGAAGAGCCAAGGCTGGTGGCAGGTTTGTAAAGTGACAGGTTCCTTAGCCCTGTGCTGTTGCTAAAGAGCTTTGTCAGACAGCAGGAGAAAAAACAGTGCTTAAGTGATGGAGGATAGAGTAGGTACAGACATACAGTCCTGAAATCTGGTACCCGTTTGAAAAACGGATCTCATTGTTCTTTCTTTCACTTCTCAGGTATCTTGCAATATCTTCAGAACTCTCCCACCTAGTGACAGCAATGAATTTGATCCAGAAGAAGATGAGCCCACCCTGGAGGCATCGTGGCCGCATTTGCAGGTTTTTGATCACTTACCTTGGAAAAAATGCTTAGAATTGCTTAATATATCTAATAATTTTCTCAGCTTTCTGTTCACCTGTGAATCCAAACTAGACTGTTAGACACTAACATTTATTAATACTCTTCATGGCTGTAATGTAGTACCTACAGAGACAGGAGAGAAGTTGGTGAAATCTGCAGAATGTTGAAGCTTTCTTTCAAAATTGTATTGATGGTGCCCCTCATATTCCTGTTTTCCTTCACTGGTTTAAAAATTACTTTGCTTTCCAAACCGTTCTGATGCACAAGTGTTTTTCAACAGCTTCAGCAAGAGCATTGTGGGGATGTTACTGCTGGCAGTTTTTCTTTGCTGAGGGTAGTTAATATTCATACAAAAGTGCACAGGTGTTGGCAGCTGATCAGAAAAATGAATGATAAGCTGCATCCCTATCCAAGTCCTCCTCTTTCTCCTCGAGGCAAGGTTTGCTTTCAGGTGTTTGTAGCAGGATATATCCTCATTGCCAAGTGTCATCACTTCCTCTGGGGTTTCAGGTGTCAAAAGGAGATATTTTGAGACCCCCACATGGAGCACTGCATCCAGATCTGGGGTCATGCTCCTGTTAGAGTGGGTCCAGAGGAGTGCACAAAGATGGTCAGAAGGCTGGAGTACCTCTCCTACAGAGACAGGCTGGGAGAGCTGGGGTTGCTCAGCCTGGAGAAGTGAATGCTTCAGGGGACATCATTGTGGCCTTTCAGTACTTAAGGGAGCTTATAAAAAGGAGGGGGAGGGACTTTTACACAGGCAGATAGTGATAGGACAAGGAGGAAGGGTTTTAAACTAAGAGGAGAGATTTAAATTAGATGTTAGGAAGAAATTCTTTATTGTGAGGGTGTTGAGACACTGGAACAAGTTGCCCAGAGAAGCTGTGGCTGCCCCATCCCTGGAAGTGTTCAAGGCCAGTTTGGATGCAGCTTGGGGCAACCTGGGCTAGTGGAAGGTGTCTCTACTCATGGCAGGGAGAGGAACTGGGTGGCCTTTAAGGTCCCTTCCAACCCAAACCACTGTGATTCTATGGTTTGAACCAAGAACATAAACTAATTTTGATGAAAGCATCATTGATACTAATGCAGTAAATTCCTTTATAGAAAATGCAGATGCAGACACTGTGTGTGTTAGGACAAAAACTTGCACCACTGGTACATTTAGGAGAAGTTTGCATAACAGTTTGTGGAGTTTGGGAATTTCTGTGAGCAAAGGAGCACAATTGATCTCAGCCTGCAATGGGGATTTTATTTTACAGTTGCATGCACAATCCCTGCCTGTGAGCAGTTTGTTTCACTCTTTTGTGCTCTCTAATTTAGAGTCTGTTGAAATGTAGGTTCATCCCTCATTTATATTTAAATTTCACAGAAAATAAGAATCTTAAAAGCTTCAAGGCAGCTCTGAAGAGCTCTGCCTGCCTGGAAACAGCACAGACATATATGCCTGTTACCTTATGTTCAATGACACCAGTGCTGTAGTTTTAAAAGTCATTACTTACATGGAAATGATGGAATTTCTTATCCAGTGGATGACTTACTGTTGTCAGGAAGAAATTCACCAAAGTATTTGTGAGGAGTCAATGGAATTGATTTCCTGATGATTTAATATTAGTTATGTAAGCTGTCACTTTTTCCCCATCTTATTTCTAAGCCTCTCTCCCCTTTTTGATTTCCTATTGCTTCCTTTGAGAAGTCAGAGAACAATGACATAAAGTAGCAGCAGCAGTTTTTGCTGTCATGGAAAAGTTTAAAATTGTTTTAAAATGTAATTTTTTAGCTCCCTTTCTCCTTTCAGTATCAATATTCATATTCACTGAAGACAGAAGGGAAGAAGTTTTCAGTGGCTGCTCTTTATGAAAAGGTTCAGGGGCAAGAATGTCTGGCTGGTAGCTCATCTATCAGTGACAGATCAGAGTTGCTGTCTTAGGAGGCTACAGCAGTCTCTGTTTCACTTCACTTCCCTGTTGCCTGGCTTTTATACTCTTTCTTTTCTCCACTAAATGAAAAGTCTGTGTCTGTCCCACTGAATAGTTTAGGCAGAGATGGAATTGCATGAAAATAAGCAGATTTTCTCCAGCCCTGAGGCTAATCTTTACAGTGAGTTAGGAACTTCTGAATAAATTCTGGTTTGTATTCTTCTTCTGTGTTTCAAGTTGTACTAGAACACTCCTCCGAGCAGTTTCTAATTTGATTTAAATATTTCCAACTGTTCCACCAACCCCTTCAGAATTGCAAGGTCTGTATTTCATGTGACTTCAGCAGTTCAGAGGGCAGTTTCAATGTGCTTTCCAATTACTCTAGGAAGCTTTACAAGATGATAACAAGCATTACAAGATGGCAGTGCCTGTTCTTGCTGATGAAATGTCTTTGACTGGAGTTAAATAAGCAAAACCAGCTTGAAAAGCTCTTGTAATTAATTCTTAACTAAAAGGTAACAATTTGATAAAGGAGGAAAATCTTTTTTGTTTTTTAACCCTTTGCTCTGTATTTAATTTTCTAACAATAATTTTGGGTAATAGTAGAAATATAAAAGAGTGAATCAAGTCATAAACTAAATTATGTGTTTTGGTTTTTTCCTTTTGCAGCTTGTATATGAGTTTTTCATACGATTTTTGGAAAGCCAAGAATTTCAGCCCAGCATTGCCAAAAAGTACATAGATCAGAAATTTGTATTGCAGGTAAGCTGCTGTGTTTTCTTTAAGGCTTCGTGTTGGTTTTGGGGAAAAAAAAAGTTACTTTTATTTAGAATTTGAAAGTGTGGCTTTATTTGCAACAGAAAAAAGCTCACCCAGCATATACAGTGAAAGTTTTCAATCTATGGAGGTAGTGGAAATACGTGTGTGTGTTTGTGTCAGTCTCTGTTGCTATAGATACATAAAATAGGTAGTTTGTATCCAGTTTTGATACCTCAATCAAAATATTTGACTTGCTGGTTATGAGGGCGCTGAAACAGTGGCTGTTGAAAAAGGAAAGGTTTGCTATGAAATAGTCTCCAAGTGCTGCGATGTAGAGACTACTCAAATGGCAGGTTTAATGTGTCGTCGTATTGTGAAAAAATTTCTGTTAGAAGGGGAGGATACTTCTGCCTTCTGTCTCTGCTGCAGAGCTGGAAACTGGGGCAAAAGTTCATGAGCGAACCTATTTGCAGTACTGAAACAGTGATGCTGCAGTGGTTGGGGAGGAAGTGAGGCTCCATGAAGTTTGAGCTCTATTAAAAGCAGGGAAGAAGTAGCATCAATAATAAACAACATGGGCAAAGTAGGGGTGGCTTTATTTTTGTAGTTTGCTTGTCATCACAGTGGTTGAAGGGAAGAGATGACTTTAGCTGTTATCCAGATATTTTACATGTATTTAATCTTCCTCTTCATGCAAGCTCAACTTCTTGTGTGCTTTGTTACCTCACTGAAGCTACAGTAGTTGGTCTCCTCTACTGAGGAATTTTAGTCCAGGCCTTGACACACACCACCAGGCCAGAGATGGTTGAAGGAAGTTGTTTTGTAAGATAGACCAGGACACTCCACAGATTAAACTTTTGTCTTCAGCTTTTGGGAGTAGGCCTGTCTTGGGGTTTCTGTTCTCATCACGAATTTTTGTGTCACCACAAATTCAGAAAGAACTTTGTGATTAATGCTGTGTATAGCCTGCTTTTGAAATCAGGGAAATTTAGAAAGATTCCTGCTTAGTTAGAAAAGGGAGTTTCCTCACAGGCTGACAAATAAAAAGCAAACTGGAAGAGTGAGGAGATACTCAGCATTTCTGAAGACCTTTCTCTCACCCCTTACCATGGAGCTGTTATAATTCCCCATGTGCTCAGGCAATATAAGTTGTGCTTTTACTGTTCATGTATGTTGTTTGTATGAAGAATGCTTGAAAAATATAGTGAAGAGAGCAATTTCTGCCCTTACATGCAAAGAAAGGACTTCAGTTTGCTTCTTAGTATCACAAGACCTTCTTCACCCTGCAAAAGCAGTAGGATATGCTTACATTTTTATTTTATCCATCTTCTAAAGACAAGAGCATTTTTCAACTGGATCAAACCTCTGGTGGTTTCCGCTTTGTTCATCTCAGTACTGATTTGAACAAAGAGGTGCACCAATCTGATCATGCAGTACCTGGTGGAGGTGTAAGAATATGCATGGTAATCGCTCCTGACAGGTTTTTCCAGGCTGAGTTTAGTTTCTTCAGCTATAGGTGGATTGCATTAGAATGAATGCATGTGCTCTGCTTCAAAATCTAGGGAAAATACTTCCTAGATGCTCCTGTTATGTGCTGCTGAACTTGGTCATGACTGGCAACATCCCACTCATGCCCTTTCAAACCTGTCACAGTTTGGCACAGGAGAATGGCTCTAAACCTAGGATTTTTCTTTTTTTTTTTTCCTCCTATATCCTGCTAGTCTTTATGAAATCTACTAAATGAAAGAATGGTCTCTACTGACAGAGAGGAATATGAGGTTTTAAAACCTAGGTATCAGAAAATGTATGATAGAACAGTTAAGAGGTCCAAAGAATTCTAAGGTTTCATATGTTCTTGCCACATGTGTTGGTAAGACACATTTAGATATTGCCATGCACAGTGTGTCAATCTAAAATTCACATTTTTCTATAGAAACTTCTATTGAGCCGTATAGATACAAGCAAGTAGATATATTTCCATGTGTGTAAATGGTTGTGTTTAGCCTGTTGGAACTGGGGTGTCCTTCCACTTGCTGTTGGGTTTGTTTTGTTTCTGGAGTAACTCCTGAGTATCTGCAACTACAGATCACTTGCATAGGAAACCACTTTGAGATTTTATGTTCCTGACACTGACAACACGAGTGGGACAGTATTTGAAATCAGCTTTTTCCCTAAATTAATTTGGTTTTGTTGTTTTTTTTTTTTGTTTTTTTTTTTTTTTTTTTTTTTTTTTTTTTTTTTTTTTTTTTTTTTTTTTTTGGGTTTTTTTTTTTTTTTTTTACATTTTGGAGACTTTAATGAAGTGTTTCTTGGCAGTAAGAATACAGGTTTTAATGGACTTTTCCCTGAGCTTTTTCTTGTGTTGATTTTGCTGTTGTTTTTTGAGTATAGCTGTGTTCCTAGCTATCAGCTGTATGTTTTGATCAAATGCTGTTACTTACCAGTGTAACTGTTGAGTCCTAAAGTCTTCTCATATACAGTCTGAAATGGTTGGCAGTGGTTGCTAAGAGACATACTATTCAAATATATCCACAAGTGTCTGTGTTATGTAGGTTGCTATTTTGGAAAATTTATTTCCCTTTTCTGTGTATGTTCAGAATAGTCACATAAATTATGGAAGTCTTGCAGCTTATCCATAAAAATAAGACTTTATTGTTGAAACCTGATAACAAATTGGACATAGCAAAAAATGATAGTCTTATTTTATTTATTTTTTTTAAATGAGAGACTGAGTCTCAGTTCAGCAATGTTTCCAGAGAGGATCTTTATAAGAGAACTGGAAATATAAATACTTTGCTCCTAAAAGCAATCCAGTAAGAAAACTGAAAACATAAGTGTTTCCAGCTGTTTGCTGTCTTAGGATGAAATGTGCTATTTGGGGAAGGATGAGGTGACTATTTATTTATTTAACGGTAGAACTAATTGAACAAAGAAATGTGTTTATAACCTCTGGAGAGCAGCTGACAGCCCTCATGGTTTCCTCATGAAATTCCCATCACAGATTCTTACTGCAAGGAAAATACAGTGAGATCTCATTACAAGCTACAGAAACATCCAAAACAATGAAGAATGCATGTATCAGTCCTAGACTTGGATGTTAGAATGCAAAATCCCAGACAGCTTAACAACTTTTAATCATGTTTTTCTTTTTTTTTTTCACTTCTTCAAAGTTGTGTAGCAATTTGAGATCAGGTGGTATACATACACTGACATATCTGCTTGTAATAGGTATTTATAATTTATCTGTTTGTGAGTTCAAGATAATTTTGTTTTCTGCCATTCCTGTGATAATTTTCTGACAGCATCTTGCACATTTGTAAGACCTCTTTGGCAAACTGTCTTCATTTCTCTTGCAAGACAGGTACTGGTTGACAACTACTTCCTTTTTCATGCAGGAGATACTGTTTGCTTATGATTACCCCCTAAAATTCCTTGTTTTCTTTGGATTTTTGAGGGGTGGTTGGGATTTTGTTTTTAAAGTTTGCCTTCTAATTTATTCCAAATGTCCAGCAGAATAGCCACTGTTGTGGTGTCACATAAAATGAAGAATGTGGCTTAGGGGAAGCTCATCCTTTTGTGGTAAGGGATTCAAGGGGAATAAAACAAAGATCTGCAGGTGACATTTGTGCTGCTCATTTCATGCCTTAATTCTTGGAGGCAACTTCAGGTGTCAGAGTTTTGGGATATATTTTGTACCATACAGAAATACATTATTTTTTGACTGACTTTCACATAACCATTTTGCTGTTTTAAAATCTTATTGGAGAGCTGCTTAGTAAATGTGGGGTTTCTGTTGTTGGTTTGTGGGGGGGTTTTTTGGTTGGTTTTGTTTGTTTAATTGATATTGAAATTACCATTTGGTTCAACATGGAGGATTAATTCCCTGATTGGTGTGGATTGGTGGAGCTCCTGTAAGAGCAGATCCAGTGCTGGCAGAGACTTCCCTGTCGAGTCTTTCCGCAGGGTGGGGGCCAGGCAGTCACTGGGAAGGCTTAAGAGCTCATCATATAAATTACAAGCAATTAGAAAAATGTGACCTTGACACAATGTTGTGGGAGCAAACTATTAGAGCAAATGAGGTTCTTTTAGTTCTGCAGAGTGAGTTAAGACAGGTAAAGTGTCTTAATTTCTAGATATTACAGCGTCTAAGAACTTAGGGTGTTTATTTTGGGGGAGAAGGAAGGAAGCATTTTGGAGCCAGTTAGTCAAAAATCTGTTAGTCTGAGTTTTGTGATGTACTGGGGTTCCAACAGATATTTTTTAATGATGTATTTGTACACATTGGGTACCATGGATCTCACATTCTTACCTGCATGTGCTTTCATGAATTTACTTTTCCGTAGAAGTCTGTGTGTCATCCTTGTCAAATGTTCCTGTTTCAGTTCTCTTTTTCCCTTTAAACACAGCTGTTGGAGCTGTTTGACAGCGAAGACCCTCGAGAACGAGACTACCTAAAAACAGTCTTGCACAGAATTTATGGCAAGTTTCTGGGTCTTAGAGCATTTATCCGAAAACAGATTAATAATATTTTTCTACGGTAAGTTGTGGAAGAAGCTACTTTTCCCTTGTGAGCTCTTTAGGAAACTGATATATCGCTTATATTTAACTTTTCTTTTTTTAGATTTGTTTATGAAACTGAACACTTCAATGGCGTAGCTGAACTGTTGGAAATTTTAGGAAGGTAAACGAGTCTTTATTTATTATCTGTCTCAGACTTCCCTTCTGGAGACGTCAGAATAGTGTCAGATTCGGAAAATGTATTATGATAAGCTCCAATTCTGAAAACAGATGTGTGCACATGCTCATCTTTAAGCCCATGTGCAAATCTCTGTCACATCTTTGCCAAGACTATATTACTAGATGCAAGTTACAGCCAGAGTGTTGGATTGATTTGCTGTGTGTATATGCATTAGATTTTGTGCATTTCATCCTTACATGCTGTAGGATTATTTTCTTCTGAGCACACTAACAGTGTGAATGTTTTGAGTAAATCTCATTCTCTAAGTTAATTACTCAAGACCACCTTGCTTACATGAATTTGCAGACAGCATAGACAAGGATTTATCTGTTTGGCAGCAGGTTTGTGCAGCTGTTTATGTGATTATTCCGAAGTTGGAGCTGAATTGCTACTCAGATATGTAGTGCCCTGCTAATATAAAGCAGGACCAAAGTCAGCACCTGTTTGCAGATGGTTGAGTCTGCTATTTGTAAACAGGTGCTGACTGCTAAACTATTTTCATCTAGAAGGTACTTGGACAGATCTTATTAAGTTTTCTGTGATGATAGAACTAACAAATATTTCTTTTTTTTCATTTCTAGTATTATCAATGGTTTTGCTTTACCTCTCAAGGCAGAGCATAAACAGTTTCTGGTGAAGGTGCTGATCCCTTTACACACTGTCAGGAGTTTATCACTCTTCCATGCACAGGTAGAAATTACACCAATATTTTCTGCTCAGTTAGAATTATATATAGATGTTTTTAAAGTTGCTTTGGAAATTTTATTGCATAGCATGTGCAAGGTGGGGGTAAAGTTCTGAAATCTGGAAAAAATCCAATAGATTTGTTTGGAATTCATTTGATGTGCTTTGTTACGGTAAATGTTTTGCTTCTGATCTGGTTAGATAATTAGAAGTGTTACATACATCTGTAGTATTTTTGAGATTTGATTTAGGAGCTGAGCTCTCTCTCTAGGTTCTCCACTGCTATTTTCTCATTTTCACAAGTTTGCCTTTCCCATTCTCTCTGCCAAGAGGATGTTTGGGTTTCCTTACCCTTGTGCTGTCAAGGCTCTTCTTCACCCTGGCAACTTTCTGAATACTAATACCCACATTTTGCATAATCTTTAACATTCTCCATCACAGATTTCCTAATACTGCATTTATGCTCTCATCCATCTTTTTGTACTTTCAGCTTTCATGACATAATTTTTCCCCTGACAAGTGCTACCTCTTGCCTTTCTCTCTGATTTCCAAATAGTGCAGGATTTCTTGTGCTGGTAAAGCTGTGCTTGCTAAATATGTTTTTCCAGGTTTTACTTGTGTTGGCTCATCTTGCAAGAGTTCTCATGATTTTGCTGATGTATAAAATGTGTAAAAAGATGCAGTTTCAGAGAGAACAGAAGCCTCAAAACATTGGTTGTATGACTGTGTTTAGATTTCCAAGTTGCTCTGTCTTTTTTTTGATTGTATATGTTACTTTGTCACTCTAATTGGTTTTGTAAAGTGTCCTATTGTTTCTTACAAACTGAACTTTGAGTTCAGTGCAAACTTTGAACAATGCAAACTGTGCATCTCAGGTTAAAATTAGATGCAGTTTGAGAAAGCTGAAGAGCATCTTGCCTTGAGTGTCTCTTTTTAAAAGACTGGGGTTTTGTGGTTTCTTTATAGATATGTTCTAACTTCTTTCTCTTGTGTTTTTACCTCTTCACAGCTGGCGTATTGCATAGTACAGTTTCTGGAGAAAGACCCATCACTCACAGAACCAGTAAATATCTCTTTCATACTTGTTTTTCTGCATCATAAATGGTTTCACCTGTTGAGAGAAAAGTAAATAATCTAACTTGGTTTGTTTTTTTTCTTTTCTTTCTAATTTAGGTCATTAGAGGTTTAATGAAATTCTGGCCAAAAACTTGCAGTCAGAAAGAGGTAAGTGACATGCAAGGATTACAAAGCAAATTTTGCTCTCAAATGTAATAAGCAGGGAATCTCTAAATATTTCCTGGTAGATAGCACAAGCTGTGGTGAATCTTGGTATTATTTCTTGTGGATTATTTTTCTATACTTGAATTCTGGGTTTTTTTGACAATTTAGACTATGAAAAGTATATAACCATGGTTTCTTTTCACAAAATAAGCACTTTTTCTTCTGCAAAGAATTTCTTTTTGTTTTAGAAAGGAGAAAATTAACATAGTTGAGGATGGATTGGAAAACCCTGTTAGATTTGGAATTGTTTATATGTAAGGGTACTGTTTTTCTACGGAGGATGAAAGATATTTTATTGTCTGGTGTTTATACTACTAAACATGTAAAAGATGCAGTTAGACCTTTGCATTTTTATTTCAAATTCTTCATGCAAATCTGAGTTTCCCTAACGAGGTTTTGTGAAACAGCAGAACTGTATTTTGAATATTGCTGCTCCAAAAAAGAGGTAAAATTGAGAGCATCTCCTTAGTTTGCAGAGTTTAAGCCTTGGTCAGATTCTTTGTATGAGACAAGGTTTTCAGCATGGATATAGTGGTTCAATTCTGCAAAATGCAAAATGTAAAGGGCTACTTCAAATACAGCACTTGAACACACTTGTCCTTCTTTTGAGAGACTGAATCAGAAGCTGCTAAAGGTAGAACTTATCATGTTTTTTGAGAGAAGATCTTGCTGAGCTAGTGAGGCTTCCATTTCTCCCTGAAGCAGTAGAATCTGAGGGTTCCCAGCATTTTGTTGAAGATGATGATTTGGAGGTTCTGTATTCAATGCTTTCTTCTTTGTCTTTAGGTCATGTTCCTAGGAGAGCTGGAGGAAATCTTGGATGTAATTGAACCATCACAATTTGTCAAAATCCAGGAACCCTTGTTTAAACAAATTGCCAAGTGTGTCTCTAGCCCTCATTTTCAGGTCAGTGGTAGAGGTTACTGTTTGTATAGGAATGCATAGTCTCAGTTTCAAACACAACATCTCCCAAGTGTAAATATTATTTTACCTATGCGGTTTTCTATGGAAGAGGTTATGTTGTGGTGGAAGTTTAATTCTGAGCTCCATTAATAGCTTGTTAGAGGGACCTGGGGTTGCAGCACAGAACTTACTGCTCTGAGCCTCACATAAGGCCTTAAACTTTACCCAGCAGCCTTTGAGCCCTTCTGTCTGTGGGTGACAGGTCCCTGCCATGTAGACCATGGAGGATGTCTTTGCTCCCCTTTTTTGGTGCAGTATTGTGCAGAGTTCTTGTTTTCTGACTCACTTCCTTCTGTAACCAGATGTCTGGTTAGAGGTGACAGAACCCAGAGCCTGCTTTCATCACATTGCATAATGGGAGGAAGAGGAATGAATAGGATTTAAATGGAATCATATGTGAAGAGGAGGTAGAATTCAGGGAGTTGTCTCCATATTAAGTCTGGTGACCTATCCTGGCACAGAGGCAGATGTGAATTTTCAGCTCTTCCTTGTACTGCATTTGTTTTTAGCATAATTTAGATCAGCATTCTCCCTCCTACAGCTCCTCCCCAAGGTGATCACTGTCACTGGTACCTTCCCCACACTTCAGATCTCTCCTCCCTTATTCAGTTCAGCCTGCCCCTTTCTGCTTCTGTGGAGCTTCCTCTGGTATCCTGGCCCTGCTGCCTTCCTTCCAACTGCCTGACTCTGAGGGAGAGGGGCGAGGGGAAGTCTCCCTGCTCTCCCTTCCCCTCCACAGCTGCAGCATTGATGCAATGTCTGCACCTGGTCTTCAATGAGCAGCAACATATCACTCAGGGGAAGACAGAGTGGATGCTGTGGGATCAGAATTATAGGATAAAAACTTAATTCCATTAATGCATGTTATGCTACTGATAAGGGTTGCTTAATTCCAAAACTAATGACTCCTGTTAATTCATCTTTGTGAGGTTTCTCTGTGATTTGTTTTTCCTTCAGACAATCACAAAATTATAGGTATCTGAATTCCTGCTAATATTTTATTCCTTTGACTCAAAGGTGGCTGAAAGAGCGCTGTATTATTGGAATAACGAATACATCATGAGTTTGATAGAGGAGAACTCAAATGTTATACTTCCCATCATGTTTTCCAGCCTTTATAGGATTTCTAAAGAACACTGGAATCCGTAAGTTTTTGCCATTACACTTTTATCTGCCATTTGACATACCACTGATAAACTTGGGGAATGTCTGAATGGGAGAGATCCGAACTCAAAGCTGGTCTGAGCAAGTGCAGGTCTGTTGATGCCAATATAAATTAGTCTGTACTTGAGCTTGTCTCAGAGTATTCTTAATTAACTGGTATGTGTACAAAAAATCACTACCTTATTGGATAAAAATAGACCTTCTCACAAGTTGGAAAAAACAGAAATTAGATGTTACATTGTTATTGAAGAAAATGTGTTGCTCATCAAGCATTTCTCCTACGCAGTTTTTTCTAAGCTGGTTAAGTCTTGAGCGTGATTCTAAATTGTCTAGAAGAGTATCATTTGGCATTAATAAAACTTTGTGGCTGTATCGTGGAGTGATACCTCTGGGAGACCTCTGGTATTGCATTTTTAAACATCACTGAGGCTTACAAACAGCAGTATGTTCTTAGGTTGAGTTGTTTTTTTCTAAGTTTAGTTAAATGCAGCTGTTTTCTATTACAATAACTGAGCAGTTACTTCATATTGATATGCTGATAATTAGGCATTTTTATTTTAAACTGAATGGCCTAGTAGAAAGTGTTTTAATGAAAAATACTCTTACAGTTAGATGCTATGTATTCTATGCTTTAGTTGAAAAGCCTTTCCAAGTCAAGCTGGTTACCATTTAGTAAACCTAGGATTTAATGAGCTGTGCTACATTCAGATCCCAGTTGCTTTAAGATTTTACTGTAAAACATTTCATCTTTTCGAACATTAGGCTTTTAGTTCTGTACCTAGGCAAACTCTGAGGTTTTTGTGCTTACCTGACAAATCTAATGCTGCTGGAAAGCTCCTGTAACTAACACTGGTCACAAAAGACACTTTCCATAGCATTTTACTGCATTACCAGTCTCCAGCCTGCCCATGCTCCTGCCCAAACCTTCATCCTATGCAATGGGATGCTTCTGGTAATGAGAATATTCCAGTATCTCAGTTCACAGAATTTTCATAGTAATTTTATTCCTTTGACATACAATCTAGGTAAAGATACATGCAAAATAAAGAAAGAATTTAAGGACTTTTTCTATATTTCTAAGAAATTTTTTTGTGTAGGCAACAACAATGAAGGTTTATTGAAATAGGTGAACAATTGACAGGGGTGCATGGGAAATGGCTCATAGTTTCTCTGCTGTGTAGGTTAGCTCCAAAGGTTCCTGGCACTTGTCCTGTTGATTCACTGCCTCCTGGCTGAAGAGCTGTTTCTTAAGCAGCTCTGAGTCTGAATATGACAGCCATAGTAGTGGATCAGGAGCTGTGAAAGGGAAAATGAATATGAAATGTATGAGTACAAGGAAATCATTCTTGAAATACAGCCTTGCGTTTTGCATAGCTGCACTGAATATGCAGCTTCATAGAAAAGTCATAAGGAAATATGAATCACTCTCATTATGTGTTTGGATTCTGTTCCTTCTGCCAGCATTGCTGATTTGAATCCCTGAAGTTGCATTCAGAATTGTTCCACAGCATGAGGGAAGAGTCTGTAGTTATATGTAATAGCTTTCTGTTGCTACCTTTTACCCTAGAGTTTTGGCTTGCTCCATTTAAGTAGTCAGTCGAGACACGAAAGCTGATTCTCACCTTAAAATATGTTAATCAAAAGTAGTTTCACTAAAATCAAAGAATTCACATTATCATACTTGCAGGAACAGAACTGGTCACAGAAAGGCCGGGAAGAGAAGACACTTCTATTTCACATTTGATTTCACCTGAAATTAATGGACTCCTTTCTTTCTTCTCTTTCAATGTCTCACAGGGCTATTGTGGCTTTAGTCTACAATGTGTTGAAGGCATTTATGGAAATGAACAGCACCATGTTTGACGAGCTGACAGCCACTTACAAGTCAGATCGTCAGCGGTAACTTTTTAAAGCTTTTTTTGTCAGCTGTGCATAAGGCCTGCTGTTAGGTTCTTCCCTTGCACTCAGATGCAACTGCACAATCTCACACAGAATAGACACAGTGCCCCATTTTCCCTCTTGCCTGCTCATTAGTCTTCTCCTTGCAAGATGTAAGATTAGATGTGCAGGTTGTTCTTTACCCTGTATTAGATGCAGTATCCATTGCATTGCTTGGGGATCCACATTGCTCATGCAATTCCTTTTGATGCTGCATTCCAAAAGACTTAAGTATCTCAAGTTCTTCAATAATGAAAGAAAAGCAAGGGTTTAAAGATAACACTTTGCTTAAAGACTTGGGGGAAAAAAAAGTTACGCTGAAGTTTGGAAAGAGACATCTGGGAAACCCCTAAGATTTGGTTTTCCAAACTGCTCTTTGTAGGCTGGACATGGCTGTAAAGCAAAGAGGCCTCTCTCAGCCCTTCCATTTCTTGTTCAGAGGTCTTGCTGTATCTGAGTCTTTTCGCATGCAGGATCCATTAAATACACCACTCATAGAATTGTTAGTTCCACCCCAGTAGTATTTCGTCTTTTCTATTTTCCTTAATCTTCATTTTCCAATTGCAGTGCAGCATCTTTCCTTAAATGTTTTACCTTATGCAAAGCATCAGGTGAAAAGAATGAGGAAATTTCAGGAACTCTGAACAGCTGGCAACTTCACTGAAGTCATACCTTGACTGTGACTCAGGATTCCCCCAAGCAAAGCACAGGGCACTGCATATCAGCAGACCTTGTTAGTACAGTCTCAAAAGTCTCTTGGAGGCTCTGCTTTTTTACTTGTGTGTCTGGAGTCACATTGGCCTTTTGTTTTAATTTTATACCCCAAAAAATCTACACTTAACAAATTAGTTCATCAATACAGTATGTTACTTTTGGAAATGTGGAGATAGATTTGAGCTGAGATGCCACATCAGTTTTTGATAGGTGTTGATAAGTAAGGCTCAGTCTGCTACTGCAGTTGAGACAAGACTGTGGTTTCCTAACAGAAAGGCTGAGAATTTTAGAACTGATCATCTAATCCAGCCATTTACTGAGGGAACTTGGTGACTTAAATCAATTTGCAGTTGCATTTTGCCCCTTAAGATAAGAAACTCTGCCCTTAACAGGATCAGCCACTGCAGAGGTGTGTCCTGTGTCTGGATGATGGGGGAGGTTTATTGGCTGAAAGAATTTTTCTTGCACAAAGAATTTTTCTTGCACCTGCTGACATTATATTTCCTGCTAATGCTGGTGCTAACAAGTTAACTATTTTTATTTACTGCTTATGATTTTAAAGCATGTAAATACCTGAATGTATAAACTGGAGTATTTCCCTTAGTGTTTCCAGAAAATCTATAGCATCTTAATAAAACCACTTTTCTCTAGGGTAGCTTTGATAGCACTTACAGCTTGAAGAGAAATATGTTCAATATTAATGATTAGGATAGGACAAATAGGTAAGTGGGATGAGCTGATCACCCTCTAACTGTCCTTTAGGTAAGCAGGCATATATTTCATAATGATTAGAAGGTAAATATTGGTAAGCAGCGTGAAAATGTCAGGCCATTTCACTTATTTTTGTACTTAATTTGAAATACTTTCTAGTAACAATAGGCTCTTTTTTTTTTCTCTTTACTGATCTTTGGAGATTTGTCTGAAAGTTGCTTGTGTTTTTTGTGTATATTTCAAATAATCTTGGGAAATTAAAGTTCCAAACAAATGAGCCAGATGTTGATATTTTGACTGAATCAAGATGTGTAGGAATGTTTCTAATCCACTGAAATATTTTGCAAGACTTCTCTAATGTGACTGGAAGAGAATCTGTATATCTGTCATTGTTAGATTTCCATTTCACCTAAACCTACAAGGTGATGTAACAGAACTTGAAAGCATTTAGTGCCTTGCAGTATCAAGGAGACTTATTCAAAGTAAGCTATGGCAGCGACAGAGATTCAGAAAGCAAACAATGCAGGTAAAGTAAATGTTAGGTTAGCTGTTGAATTTTGCCAAATCAACCATGAAAGTCTGTTGTTAAAGCAGATGCTGCATAGATCTTGTAGGAATTTGGTAAGGAGAAAGAATAACTCACTGAACAAAAGGCACATCTTGTAGCTTGAGCTTTGCCTTGGCTGGTTCCTAAGCAATGTGGAAGCCACTGGTCAATATAAGCAAGAATAGTGACTAAAAGAATCAAGGAATGCTTGTTCTAGAGAAGGGCTGGTGGAAATATACCATGCTTAAATAAACAAACTTGAAAATAAGGAAATAATTTAGTCCATCCATGTTAATTTGTATAATCTTGGCATATTTGTTCTGTAATAAGTCTTTATAAAAGTATTCTTTCTTCCTCATTAGAAATTAGTGTCTGTGAACACTGTCACTTTGCTCAGCTTATGTTTTATGTCCTTCTTATACTGCTTTGTTTAACTGTATTTATGTAGGTAACAAAAAGAAAAAATAAAAAAAAATTCAGTCTATGTTAGGAAAATTGCAGTCATGTTCAAGAAAATTAGCGCAGCTAATATTTTTTTAACATAAATATTCTACAGACTTCTCCCCTGCTAACTCTGTTTTATTTCATCTGTCAGTGAGAAGAAGAAAGAGAAAGAGCGTGAAGAATTGTGGAAAAAACTGGAGGATTTGGAATTAAAGAGAGGTCTTAGACGTGATGGAATAATTCCAACTTAACAAAAAAACAAAACCGCATTATTAACCTGTGGAGTCACACATTTATGTAGTAGAAGATGGAGCAACAGTTTTCTGTATTGTGCAACTTTACAGTAGATTTCACATTTGTTTCATTATTACAACAGCACTGTATATACCTGTCTCTAAGTAAAGGAAAAAAATAAGGACTTTAATCCAAAGTTTGGACAGCAGATGGACTTCTCAGAACTTTGCAAACATAATCATTTGTTTTAACCCTTCTTTAAAACCAGTCTTCAAAGATCTGTTGATGAAAATTGCAATGTCAAATTCCATTGTCAGGACCTGTTCCTTATTTATCGTTAGCAGAGAGTATAATACAACTTTCAAATGTGAACAATCTTAAAATTTAGCTTGTCTTTCTGCTAAACTGTTACGTGTATTTATAGTAAAAGAGAAAAAAGACTGTCATTTCCTTATGAGTTTGTGTAACATCCTCCTTATCTGGATAACTTTACTGTAATTTCACTTTTTTTTTTCCTTTTGCACATCTTCATAAGTTGAATGTCCATTCAGATCAGGGCCATGAAAAGCATTGGTCCTGAATAAAAGTATTGTTTACTGGTGTGAGCATTTTTTTAGTACCAGGCTGTCTCTGGTGCTTCTTTAATTTGAACATTAGGAGTTAAAAAAGCAAGTAGGTGATAAACAGAGTAGGAAAGAGAGCTTTGGATTCGTGCACCTATGTATTGCAAATCCAAATTAGTGTCCACAATCCTTTAACAATGGGCAGTGGTAACACCCTGGACTTCAGTACCTAACCAGTATTAGTGATGCAGCATTGGACACACATACGGGGTTGGTTTAGAAACACTAATGGCTAAATTATTACAGTATGTTTTTTTTGGACCATTTAGAAGGAATAAAGACACATATGCTAAACAACACAAGTGTGAAATTAATCTCCAGAGGTCATGGATCTGATTGGAAATTGAGTTGAGATAGCAGTTTGGACAGTTTGGAGTTGTTGCCTTACTTTTTAATATGTATTTATAAAGTGTTCCAGCAAAAGAGGATGTAGCCTCTAAGAAACATACTTTAGTGTTTTTGTGGTTCTAGTACTATTACTCATCACAGTACCAGCCCTATGGTCTTAGCTGGAAAGGATTCTGGATAATACACTTCTGCATTCTCATCTGGATGCTCATTCCTAACTACTGTATTTGTTACCAAAAGTGGTTCTACAAATGCTACTGAAAAAAAGAAAAAAATTCTGGAAATCCTAATGTTCTGAGTATTAATAATAAAGTTTAAAATGCTTTTATATCAAAGGTGCATTGTGACCAAATTGTTTAAAACAAAAGAGGAAAAAAAATAACAAAAAACAAAGAAGAGGGCTGTATTATAAGTATACATTATTGGCTATCTGCTTTGTATTTGAAAGTGGAATCTTACATCTTTGGTAGGTAAAATGCTGATAAGACTTATGTACAGTATATATTTAGCTAATGCAGTTGCATTATTCTATACCAGAAGGTATGTGTTTCAGGATTTTTCTCCAGGATGCTTTTGAACTGTTATATGAAAACAGTGAATTGATAATCCTAAACCATCAATCCAGCAGTATTTACAGTATCAAACTGAATTGGTGTTCATGAGTCTTTGTGATAGTTGCAAACATGAATTTATGACCTGTTGCCATTGGTAGAAATACAGTATAAATACAAGCTTGTATATTTTTCTTCCTACCATTTAAATATACAGTAGGATTTGAAGTTTTCTTGTTTTCAGGCATGGAAAAAAAGGTAAAAAATGAATTCCCTCCTAGACTACTGACTGTTTCAGGATTATCAGGTCACAGTTTGTACTCCTGGGTCCGCGCACACAAATGTTGTAAACTCAACGTTTTGTAAGAACTTGACACTGTTAATTCTGGAAAAAAAAAATAGTGGAACTAGTCATATGCAACACCAAACACAACATGGTTTAATGGGATTAACATGAGCTTCTTTTAAGAACATTGACTGGGACGCAATGTAAATTAGGCAGTTACTGTCATAGTTGAAACATTTTATTTTAAAGTGCTGAAGCAAAGGTGCAAGCTGAAATACTGAAGATTAAATAAATTTATAACAAATCATGTCCCTTAGCTCGTTGATTTTGACAGTCTTTTATTTCTGTTACCAAAAAAAAAAAAGTACTTGCTAGTGTGATTTCTGTGTGAAATGGTCATACTTTACAAGAGGGTGGACTCAAACTCATGCTCAGAGACTATGTTCCATTGTGAAAAACTGAGATAGAATGGAGGAATAAAACTTTGTTTTCCACCTGGTGGAGTAAAACACAACAATGTGAAATTAGAAAAAAAGCACCTTGTCCTGTACTTAGAGTTTAGGTGAGTGTTGTTTGTTCATAACTATTTTTTTTTTTTTGGTTTTGACATGACATTCTGCTATTGATCATACAAAAACTGACGAGAACCTGATGGGTTGCAATATTTTGTTACCTCTGATGTTACCTCTGCTGTGGGGAGAGTGGGGAGTATCTAAAGTTTCTAGATGATTTATCACTTCCGAGAAGGAATGTTTCTTTGACGCAAACGAGACGATGTGATGTTATTAGTCACTTGACTCTAAAGGCTGACACGACAGTAGGTTGCACTGGGCAATGTCCCTGAAGAAGCACTTGCCACAATGATCCGACCGTTCCCCCGGGACCCACAGTTTGCTGCAATCCAAGCACCATGTCCTGCTGCCCTGCAGAGCTCCCAGTGCTGTGGGCTGGAGTTGCAGGCCGAGGAGGAGGAGGCAGCGAATGGGCCCAAGTGTGATCAGTGCGTCTGTTTAATTGCGCTTTCGTTTGCTCCTTGAGTTCCAGAAACTATTTGTGTAAATGTTGTTCTTAACTGCTCGTCCAGCAGTCGTTGGGTGGTCGCTCGTGTCCTGTGCCATATTGGTTTCAGGAGGAAGGATTGAATGCTGTCTGGTCAAAGGGAAGAGCTGCGTTTTCAATCCTAGGGCATTGCATCGGGTCATGGGGATGTAACAACTGTAAAAGTAAAGTTCCTCTCATACATTTTAAATCGAGCACACGTTGCTTTCTTCATCTTGCAAGTCTCCCTTCTTGTTTTCCTTTCATTGCTTTTGAGTGGTTTTTGTCTCTCTTCCAAAGGTTGGAATGCTTTAAATAAAAAGTATTCTGCTGCCATTGGAGCGTTCACTAACAGGGTTACAGTAAATTTAAGCTTGGTTTTGTTAGCATAAATAAAAGGCTTTAATTTCTTTTTTTAATCTGTCCTCATATATGGAAAAATGGAGAGTTGTTGGAGCCAAGAATTGCTTAAGAAGTGCAGCAGCTGTACTTACATTATAGTGCATAAGTACAGCCTCAGGCTCTCTCACTCTGGAAAAGAAAATATATTGGGAGCTCTGAAAACCTCTTTATTGTTTTGTGAGGAGCGGGAAAGACGAGATTCTTCTCCCTCCAAGTAAAACCGAAATAATTTACTTCTGTCTTGGAAAACAAAGATGCCCTTTTCTCTTAATTGTGGGACAATACCATCCCAAAGCAGTTGCCCTAAACGAAGACAAAGGTTACAATGCTCAAGATCGAAGAATGTTTTTATTTACATGTGGCTTTTTTTAATTTTGGCTCACATGCTTCCCTTAGCAGCTCTGGAGTGAGCCACGAATTAGTTTTTCCTAGTTGGTATGTGCAGCAGATTTTATATAGCCCAGTTTGGGTTTTTTTTCAGTTTGAAGTCTATGAAATAACATCTCGAAACAGAGTGGAACTAATTTTGATTTGAAAACTTTTATCCACGTGTTGCTTCCCATCCACAGAAGCCTATGCTTTTTATCATGACCTCTAAGAGTTTTTGTTACTTGGATCACTTCCTGTAAATATGTTGTATTCATAACCTCATGGGCCGATGAGGAGTTTTCAAATATAAATAGTACCGATACATTTCTTGTTGTTGTCCTATTTTTGATTGTAGTATAGCGAATGACCTGTCATGCTTTTTGTTTCAAGGTTAGCATTAGATTCATAGATCTTAATATTTTAGCATTTCATTGTTTAAGCAGGAGAGGGCAGCAAAAGTTCATTTTTCCCCATAGGAATGCTCTGGTCCCATTACTGTTTTTAAACTTAGATGCATTTAACTATCTGTGGGTAGGGGGGAAAAAATGAAGCATTTTTTATATATATTAAAAGGTGCATATGAAAATATATAGCCTGGTCCAACCAGACTGTGAAAATGTCTTCTACTCTACATCCAAGTAATAATAAAAAGCAAAATATCTTCCACCTCTGGATAAAGTACAAGCAGGTCTTAAGCTCTTGGATTCAAATGTCATTCTTTGGAAACAGTTTACTTTCTTAAAAATGGTATCAAAGAAACTCAAACTCAATGGTGCTCCCAGCTATAAATGTGTAATCTTCCTCTTTTGCACATGCTCAAGAGGCTCTGTACTGTGGGTGCATCTAAATAAAGAAGCAATGAAGTGTTTTCCAGGTGCTTGGCTTTTTTTTCCACCTCTTCCCAATCTAAACTTCATGTACCTTTTCAGCAGTGAAGTTCCAGCAATCAGATACCCATCTGCACATATCAAATGTAAGGACACTTGTCTGAAAAAGAGAAAAACAAACAATGAGGTGGTAATTTAGGTTTCTGACAGAATTACCATGGTAAACTCTCAGTTCTCATTAAGTTCATTTTTTTAAAGGTCCTCTCAGGGTGCTGAGCATCCTTGTAGAGCACACAACCCTCTCTGTGAGGGAGGTCAAGAGCAGTGGATGCAGAAAAGGCATTAGACCCACACAGTGTTTTTTAGGAATCATTTGAGCCTTACACTTTGCAGCTGGTGAAAGAATTTGGTCTTTTATAGCAGCATTCTACTGTTTCAGTCCTTGTGCTACTTTGCCTTGCAGTTTGGAAGCAAAGAGAAAGGTTTAAGATGTCACCTACATGAGGGAAACCCTCTGGAGAGAGCCACGGATGGAGCCTGGTAAGGGGGGATGCCAGTGAAGAACTTTAGGAGTAGTAGGGAGAGTTGCTTCAATAGAACTGAAAAAAAGATGTGTTAAACAACTACTTCTGGTTTTTAAATACCACTTTCCTACATGAGTTGTTCCAATAGCTTAATTCTTAATGCTTTTCATTTTGATTTTTTTTCGAAATTAAATTTTCAGCAGTTGGGTCTTGCCTGCCTTTGTTAGAAGAGCTCATTATCACAAATCTCTTTAAATACTTGTACGACAACATTCAGATCACTTAACAATCTCGTCTCTTTACTTTCTTATTGCAAGGCAAGTGTTTTTCTAAAGTTTAAAAAAAATGAGAACAAGCACTAAGTTGGCCTTCAGGGTAGGATTTATCTTCTTACTTGCAAGTTGGAAAACAACCTTTATAGGTTTGGAATTAAAAACTTAAATTAGTTTCCTACTTTTGCTAATGATAATTGCTTTCCTGATTTTTCATCTTTGTCTTTGCTGCTCAGAGATGTTTTGGTTTTTCAGAATAGCTGAGCACCTAGTTTATCTGTAAGTTTGGACCTCAGATCACAGGTCTGTGGCCTACAAAAGTAGGTTTGTGTGCAGGCAAAGGCTGATGCCAAGGCTGTAGCAATTAGTGGCTCAATGTACAGTGATGCAATAGCTCAGGAGTCAAACTGGAAACTGATACAAGGCCTTGCATTATGAGTTTGGGGAGATCTGTGGTTTTAAAGATTAAGTGCTGAAGCCAAAGCAAATACCCTGAATTTGTTAGTAAATACACTGAAAGCAAATGTACTAACCCACTGTGGGCAGTGCCCACAGGCTTTTCTGCAAGTCTCCATCACTTGAAAAATGGTCAGACAGAAACTTGGTCTCTCACTATTTTTATGTTTGGTTGGTATTGGTTTCTGCCTTGTTCATTTTGTCTGTTCAGTACTTCCCCCCGTAGAAATCGCTGAAGGTGTGAGAAGTTAGGGGTCACTCAAAGGATGGAAAGCTTGTGATGCATTTAAAGAAATGTATTCTTTTTGTTGCTGGACAGTGGTTCATACCTTTGGTACACACTTGAAAGAGTTTGGGAACTTGTCTTGCATCATCTCTGAACCTGGGAAGGGCTTCCAAAAAGACAAAGGGATGCTCTATGCACCTTTTTGAGTCTTCTTTTCAAAATTCTTACTTTGCACCACCAGGGCCAAGGTTTTTTTGGCCTACAAAGCTTCTGTTCTTCACTGAGAGCGAAAGCAGTGACCCAGCAGTGCTCACACAGCCCCTGGGCAGCAGAGCAGTGCTGAGGATGTGAGCAGCAACCTGCCAGCAGGAGCACATTGTGGTG